TTATGCAGTGCCCCAAGGCTCCCCCACCTGCGGGCACGAAGACCCTGTGTTGGCAGGGAGGTGGCACCACCAGCCACCATGTTGGCTTTGTGGATCGTGTGGCAGGTGATGCTCCCGGCGAACCTGACCCTGCGTGGTGACCAGTCCGTTCAACGCGAGCCCTTTGCTAGAACCTGTGCTCTTTCTGGAGCTCAGAGGCATCGTCGTTAGCTGCTCGGGGCCGTTGGGTGTGGGGCAGGTGGCCTGCCAGGCCCTGACAGCATGGTTGGAGGTCAGGGCCTTTGGTGTTTCCTGTCCCCTCTCAGCCTCAGTGTCCTCATCTGTAAAGTGGGCGGGTGGGTTGTGTTAGTGTCTACTTCACAGAATGACGGCGAGGATTTAGTAGTATGATGTCCGTGAGGACTCGGGCTGTGCCTGGCATTTAGGGGTGCTCTGTGCACACTACCTCGCTATTACCAGACAGGCTGGGAAGGGTCAGAGACGTGTGTACCCACATCTCAACGTGACTGTCTCTGTCTCTGGTGGAGAAGACAAAAGGGAGGGTCAGGCCACTCCCGTGAGGCAGGTGAACCTGTTAATGTGAAATTATTCACAAGGAAAGAGGACGCCAAATTAAATTAGAGCGACCTTGCTTCGCGTGTGGAAGATGGGCTTGGTCACCCCCGAGAGCCTCCCGCATCCATCACCCACCCCAAGGGGGAGACGAAGGAAAATGATGGAGCTGCTCCCCACAGCTGCTCCCCCTGGCGGGCAGACTCAACACTGCAGCAAAATGAGGGCAGTGGGCCGCTGCTTTCCCGAGCCGTCGGTCCTCAGAGCCAGTCCTCGGACCAGGGACCAGCCACCATCCTGGGCGACCTTTTTGGACTGACCCTGCCCCAAATCCCCAACCCTAGAGACCAGCAGGGCGCAGCCAGCGTTTCCAGGGCTTGGGCCTGGGTGAGGGGTGCCATTTGTCCCCAGAGAGACGTCGGGAGTTGGGACAGTGGTGGTGGCGGAGCACCCCTTTCCTGCCCTGAGCTCTTCACAGGTCGTAACGGGCTTACAGGTGCATGTGCCCAGCGTTGCCCACCTAGGAACCGGCAGGCGCAGGAAGGCAGGGCCAGGGGTCCTCAGAGGTGCTCGGGGTGTGGGGAAGGGAAACGAGCAGATATTGGGAAAAGTGGGAGAACTTATCGGGACAAGGCCCTCCCCCTGCCTTAGCCCCTCAGGGGGGCTGTGGGTTCGGGACTCGGCCCCTCTCTTTCTCAGTGCGTTTTCTCTGGCACGTTCTCCCCAAGTCTCAGTTTGCTCGTCTGCAAATTGGGGACGGTGACGGCACCCACCTCACAGACTCGCGGGAGGCGGGCTCAAAGCGGTGCATCTGTTGCAGCTGTCAGAATCATCACCATAGCTACAGTGAGTGGTTGCCGTGAGAACAGTGAGTTTGGGCTGTGGACCAGCCCGCCCACCCCCTCTTGCCGCGTCCCCCTTTGTCTGCGACTAGGCTTCGATTTTGAGTACTCTGGTCACAGGAGATTTGGGGACCAAGGTGGGGGTGGGGCAGTGGTAAGATCCATGCAGAGCAGTTGGCCTCCTACCCAGGTAAAGGGGAGGTCTGTCCTACTGGGGAAACTGAGGCTCCACATCTGCCATTAGCGGTTGAGTGACCTGGGCCCCCTGTCTCAGCCAGAGGGCCTGAAGCATTGGCCTGCCCAGTGCTTTTAAAATCTTCGACTGTGTTGCCGGCATTCGAGGCCGGGCAGTTCACAGTTTTTGGGTTCTGGAGAGTTCGGGAGGTGTGGCCGGGCCGGGCCAGCCTGCCTGAGGTGCCGTTCTGTTTGGCCCGCTGCGGTTCGAACTAGTGGTGCCCATCTAGAGAGGTGTGCAGACTTGGAGGGGGGCTGGTGCTCGATGACCAGTGGCTGCCGTGGGAGCTGGAGTCAGGAGTCAGGCACGGATGCTGAGGCCCAAGCGGCCCACAGGGGCCAGGCAGGTGATCGGTCCGGGCGGGACTTGGGGCCAAGCACATGGCACACGCCTATGCACAGAGGGTGGCTGCCCATAGCTCCGTTCAGGGAACCGTGGATGCAAATGTCCTCAGGCCTCCAGTTTGCAGTCACTCCCAGCAGGTGTTGTCATGGTGTGCTTCCTGGGCAAGTGGGTTCATGTCCCCCAAAGGCAGCCTCCCCTGGAGGGAGCACATAGGGGTGCTGTCGGCAGACCAGAGACCCTCACCCTATGGCCAAGGCCAAAACACCCAGCCCGAGGTATTCTCTGGGCAGAAGTGAATCAGCCACTGGCTGGGGAGCCTCTGCTGCACCCCTAGAAGCCTCCGCGCCTGGGTGTGGCCCTGGGTGTCCAGCCCGGCCCCGCTTAACCCTGCGGGGCTTGTGGCCTTGGGCTGCCCTTGTTTCCTGTGGCAGGGGAGCTGGTGGGTCCCCCGTACCCAAGGGGCACTTTGAGCACACGTCCTCCCCGAGTGCCGAGCACCCCGGCACACACAGCCACGCCGGGTGGGCCTCCCTTGCTGTGGGTGACCAGGGTGGACCCAGGTGACATCCAAGGTCGCACAGGCCACGGCAGACGCTCAGCGGCCCTGACGAGCCTCCCTCCTGCTCTGGGCCCGGACTCTAGCCCTGTAGTTCCAGAATGTGGCCCCGAAATTAGTCCGAGAGCTCCCCCCTCCTGTCACGTGGATTTTCTGGGTTTGTGCCTTCGTGGAGGTGTGGCCCAGGGACCTGGGTGGGTACGGCAGTCAGGGGCCCGTGCTCATCTGGGGTGATTCTCTCACTGTGGACCCCAGAACCCCGAAACCAGATCCTCCTGTCTTCTTGGCCCTGCCTAGCATGGTCAGTGGGGCTGTGAGGGGCTTTCTTCACACCTACTGGGCCTGCTGGGGCCTCACCCATTGCCCCCGTCAGCCCCCAGGGGTCTTGCTGCTGCCAGTTCGGCCATAGAAAACTCCAGGAGGAAGACAGCAGCCCGGCCTGGGCTCTGTGGGCCTCCGGGGCCCGAGACAGGGACAGAGACAGCCCCACACCTGCCTCCCCTCAGGCCCGGCGTGGGCGGGCCCCTGGGCACCGTGGGGGAGGGGCGGAGGGGTCCCACCACCACCATCCAGCCGGGGTGAAGAGTGCATCAGGTTGGGGGGGCATTGCAGGCCCCTCCGAGGAGGGGGGCGCGTGGGTGTTGCACAAAGCAAGCCTGTGTGTCGCCTGAATGGGTGGCTTTATCTAACACAGGACCTGGGCCCACAGAATCGGGCCAGGCTGTCGAGGCCCCGGACCCGCCTGTCTGGGAAGGTGTGGCCACAGTTACTGGGTCCGAGGCCACAGGCCTGGCCTTTGCCCAGCCCAGGCCCTGACCTCCTCATGGGGACGTGAGGGTGTCTGGAGGGCAGAGGGCAGTTGCAGGCTTGCCTGCCCTCCCCGCGGGGCCGGGCCCCAGCCTTCCCAGGGCTCAGGAGAGTGTCACCAAAGCCCTGGCCAGTTCATCCTCCCTCCTGGCTCCTCCAGAGTGAAGCAGGAGCACAGCCCCACCACGGCCAGAGCCAGGGCCCAGCCGGCTCCGAACCGGGCCCCAGGTGCAGGGGCGGACGGCCAGTGCATAGCCAGGAAGGCAGGGCCACCAGCTTTGGGCCCTAGGGTGACACGAGCCTGTAACTGGAGCTCTGCAATGGGGCGAAGAGTCGGCCCTGTGCAGGGGTGCTCCCCGGGCCACTGTCGGTCATTCTTGGTCGTGGGGCGTCCTGCGCACGTAGGATATTACGCAGCACCCACCAGGTGCCGGGAGCAGCCCCCGCTGTGGCCGCCCCTCGTGTCCCCTGGGGCCGTGTTGGGACAGACCCACCCAGCGCACACTTGGCACGGCTGGGCAGATGTGCAAAGGGGCGTGGGAACGTGGGAGCCGGGAGGGGGCCAAGCGCGGAGGGGGCGTGGGTTCTGTGTGGAGGAGCATCCACAGTAACGTCCCCCAGACACACCGCTTTCTGGCTGGACGCCTTGGGGAAACCGAGGCTGGTGGGGTGCAGGGCCCCGACATAGCACCCATACCCCTCACCCGGCTCATAGCTCGCCGTCTCCCCCAGTGCTGCCCGCCCCGCCCCCTCCGGCTCCGTTCGTCCGTCTGTCTTGGAGGAAGAAAGGGCTGGGTCGGGGGCTCCGAGCTTGGACTGTGCCCTGGGGGCCTCGGCTGAGAGCTCGTCAGCGCCCCGCGGCCCTGGGGAGTCTTTCTGCCTCCCTCTGGTCTGGGGAGGCACGTCCCGCTGCTCCTCGGGCAGGACTGGCGGGCAGGCGGCCTTGGGCTGGCGCCCCCTCTGCCATGTCAGCAGCCGTCCCCGGCAGGACCAGCGCCTGGCACCTCGGCCGCTGCAGGGGTCCCTAAGCCCCGCGACACGGACCCTCCTGAGTCACAGAAGCCTCCCTGGCTCCAGGGATCAAAACCACCTTCCTTTTCCAGCACTGGAGGGTTTTTTCGCCTTCGAGGCGAAAACAGAACAAAATCACGAAAAAAAAATGAGGGTTACAGCCACCGGGCTGTGGTGTCTCTGAGGCCTCTTCACCAAGGGGGGTCCTCACATGCCCCTCCCTGTCGAGGGCGGTGTGTGTGTGTGTGTGCATGAGGGGTATGCACGTGTGTGTGAACGTGTGTGTATATATAGTGTGTATGTGTGGGCATGAGGTGTGTGTAGTGTGTATGTTTGTGAGTTGTGTGTGCATGTATGTAATGTGTATGTTGTGTGTGTGAGTTGTGTGTGCATGTGAGGGCGTCTAGGTCCAGGTGGAGGCTAAAATGATGTGTGCACATGTGTGTAGTGTGTGTGATGTGTGTGTATGTTGTGTGTGTGAGGTGTGTGGTGCGTGCGTGCATGCGTGTGTGCACGTGTGTGTTGGGACTCGTGCGTGTCGGGGTACGTAGGAGTGTCGCGGTGCCTATGTGCTGGGCGCGTGTGCGTGTTGGGGGCGTGAAGGGCCGGGCTTCGTGGTCCCTGAGGTCTCTCGTGTCCCCTTGCCTTGCAGCGGAGCTGGAGTTCGTTGAGATCACCATCATCGTGGTGGTGGTGATGGTGATGGTGGTGGTGATCACGTGCCTGCTGAGCCACTACAAGCTGTCTGGTCGCTCCTTCATCAGCCGGCACAGCCAGGGCCGGGGGAGAGAAGACGCCCTCTCCTCAGTGAGTGCCCCGCCCCTCCTGTCTGCGCCCCGAGCTCCCCGGGGAGGCGGGACAACCCTCACTGATGTGGTGTGGTGTCCCCCAGGGGTGTCACAGGACCTGGGGTGCTGAGACTCAGAGGGGAGACAGTCAGCAGCCACCGGGAGGCAGCCAGGCGGGCGATGAGGAGGGTACCTGGGTCCAGGCAGGGGCTAAAGAGACGGGGCGGAGGGAGGGGGAGCCCAGCCTCGAGGCCGTGACCCAGACAGAAGGGAGGGGCCTTTCCGCTCCCGCCGGTCCCCTGCAGACGTCTGGCCCTGGCTCTCAGTGCCTTGGAGGCAGCAGGTCACCCAGGGAAAGGACTTCCTGGCCCCGAGTTCAGTGCCAGCTCTGCTGGTCCTGGCTGTGTGCCCTGGGACCAGTCCCTGATCCAAGAAGCGGGCTTCGGTCCCCATTCTTTGTGTGGAAGAGGCTGAGGAATGTGCCACCTCGCAGGCGACTCAGGGCTTAGGGCTCAGGCGCCCCTCGTCCCTGCACTTCCGGGGCTGAGCCCTGCCCTGGGTCCCCTCCCTCAGCAGAGGAGCCAGAGGGACGGGCGGCGTCCACCTCCACGTGGTTCCCGGCCCTGGGCCGGCCATGCCTGGCTGGGCAGCCTGGGACAGAAGCTCCGGTCTGACGTGTGGGCTGGGAATTAGGGAGAAGGTGGCACGTGGGCGGGTGCGTGTCTCCGAGCCCGTGTTTGCTGGGCTCTGGGAGGACAGTGACAGAACGAGGAGGCGGTGCTGGGCGTGGCCTCCGGTTCCAGGGGACACCTGGGGGTGGCGGCCCTGCTCAGTCTGTGGGGCTGAGCCAAACCCCTGACAAGTCCGGGCGTCTCCACGTGCGTCAGGGCACAGCCTCAGGACGTCACCAGGTCGCGTCCTCTCTGGTCCCTCTGAGCCGAGGTGCCCCAGGCGGAGGCTCAGCGTGTGTCCGGAGGGCACGGCGGCTCTGAAGAAATCCGTGCTCACCTGTGTGTTTCATTGTCACTGCCGTTACCTTGGCGACGGCCCTGCAGCCGTGCCGCGAGGCGCACGTCTGCCGAGTCTGCACGCAGGTTCCCACACTTGCACCGGCCTGGGAACCCCATTTACAGAGTAGAACCGGAGGCTCAGGGAGGCAGGAGCTCTAGCCTGGGGCCACGCAGCTTGTAGGTGGCAGTTTGAAGAGCCCACAGCCCGGTTTGTCCTGCCTCGCGCGCTGGGGCCGGTGAGGGCGGCGGTGAGGGTGCCCCCAGCCCGGGAGCATGCCTCCGGGGTGGCTCTCTTCCCCCCTGGTGTTCAGGTGTGCGTCTGCCGACTGGGTGGAGCTCGCCGTGCTTGGCCCCCCGTCTGGTCTCTGCAGTCGTGGGAGGATAGAGTTACCGAGCGTGGGGGGCACGGCAGCAGCTCCAGCGGGAGCCACCCTTGCTTTCCCGGAGGAAGAGACAGCCCTGTGGGCAGCAAGGACTCGGGGTGTCGAACCCAGATAGGGTCAGGGATTCAGGCTCTGGTTCTCAGACACCTGAGGCTAAAAGAAAGTCCTCTCAACCCCCATCTACCCAGCCATCTGCACAGGCCCCTGGGGACGCCCGGCTGGGTAAACACAGAGACTTGCTAAGTGTACAGTACATGTGGCAGCTCTCCTGGGGGCCTCCTGCCAGACAGGGCACATCTGAGGAGTCTCAGCCCCGAGACCTTCCAGAGACCCAAACCCCACTGTCTGCCTGAGGCCGGGCCCATCCTCCCCGTCTCAGTAAATGGGATCCCCATCCACCGAGCTCTGAGAGTCTGTTTCCTCATCTGTTAGAGGATGAGGCTCAAGCCCACGTAAGCCATGTGGCCCTGCGGTGTCCCCCGGGGAAGCCAGGACATACTCCATGATAGCTACTACGGTCACTCTAGCCACTGCAAGGGCGCAGACTGCGGGTCTGAAGGGGCTTGTGCTGGGTGGGCAGGTGAGGGCAGTGTTATCTGTGAAGACAGAGTTCTACCTGGGCACAAGTGAGCAGGTGGACGGGTGCACCCACCCCCCAACCAGGAAGCCTCCTGCCTGTTTCTGGGCCGCTCCAGGGCCCCTGAGCTTTGCTCTCAGGCGCCAGTGTGGATAAACAGCCGCTGCTTTGAATTTTCTCTCCCCAGCAGCCTTTAACCATTCCCCCATAAGGTTAAGCATCTGGAACAGCGATGGTCACTTCACTCACAGCTCCCTGGGAAGACGGGTTTGTGGCCTGCTCCGCGTGGGTGGAGTCAGGCCGGAGGCTCAGCCAGGGCCTTGGATGGGGCGATTGTTTGTCCTCTGTCCCCAAATCAGCCCTGCATGGGTCTCCTCCTCCCACAGGGCGCATGGCTATGGCCTCCAGGGAACAGCCTCTCAGCCTTCCTGGGCCCTTCGTGTTGGCCTGGGTCCTAACCAGTGTCTTGCTACTTCATTCTTTCAGCAAATACTTAAGAATACACGGTATTTGGCTTGCAAAACTTGGTGGACGGCGATCTCATTTACTGAGATGGGGAGGAGCGATGCTGGAGGGTTCAGGGGAAGAATCCAGAGTTCCATCTGGCCTCGGGGGGCTGTCGAGCAGGCGTGTGGCTCCAAATTGGGGGTTCATCAAGATATAGACTAGGGGCCGGCCGCCTGCTGTGGAAAATAAAGTTTTATTGGTACACGGCCACGCCCATTCCCATGGCATCTTTTACTACAGACTGTGGCCCACAAAGCAGAAAATATCTTACTCTCTGACCCTTTAAGGAAACAGTTTGCGGACCCCTGGGTTAGATGGGAAACCATGGCAGGCTGGCTGACCTCGCTGTGAGCAAGGAAGCTTTGAGAAAGACAGGGAGCCAGGTGGAGCCCGGGGGGCCGGGAGAGGAGGGGCAAGAAGGAGCTGCCAGGAACAACCTTTAGGGGTCTGGCATTTGCATCCAGAAGGATGCTGGGGGCCATCCACTGAATCAGGGAACACGGTGAGTAGGACGTGACCTCTGGGCGAGAGGGTTCTGACGAGTGCACTGTGACCAGCTGGACGCAGGGTGTCCCTCCAGCAGAGCCAGGCTGAGTGAGGAGCTCAGGTGCTGTGGGGGCCTCTGGACCTCCAGGTGTGCAGGTTGGAAGTGGTCACGTGTTGAGGACGATGGGTGGTCGTGGGTCTGTACTGGGGCCCATGGGCACTGATTGGTGTTTTCTTAAGGTCCCTAGGTGATGCCACTGTGTGGCCAGGTGGGAATCCCTGGGCTAGGGCTCAGGGGATGGGGTGGGCAGTGGTGGGAAGAGGTTGGTGGCCACATTGTGAAAGGCCTGGCACTGAGAGCCTCGTGGGAGGGTTTTAGGCACGGGCTCGTCTGGGTCACATTTCACCCAAGCCAGCCTTAGCTGCTCGCACCTCTCCCCAGGGCTCCCAAGTCCACTGGGGGGGCCGGTAGATGTTCCCCCTTCTGCTTCCTGGCACACACCTGGGCTGTGCCAGGGGCCCGGCTGGGGGCCGCAGAGCCTGCCAGAACCAGCCTGAGCCAGAATGCACCTGGAGGCAGAGGGCGAGGCTTAGGCTCTCAGGGCAGTCCCTTGCTGGCCAGGCCTCTGCTGGCCTCACAGGTTTATCGACGGATGAGACGGTGCTTAGAATTTAGCACAGTTGCTGGCACCGTGGCAGCAATTGATGTGGCATTACGAATATCAGTAACAAAATGGCCAGTGATGACCATATTGACAGTAACGGTGGCTGTCTGCTCTCTGCGTCCCCCCACTTGGAACATACTAGGCCCCACTGAGTCTTCATGGTTTAGTGCACTCCTGATGGGACAGTTTTGAGAGACACAGTGTCCCCTAGTGGTCACATGAGAAATTGCAGCCGGCCGGGCATTCCTCCCCGGACTGCGGGTGAGAATTGTCTAAACTGGGAACCCTCAAGACAGCGTGCCCCCAAGGAAACTAATGGGAGGATAGGTGTATTTGTTACCTTGACTGTGGTGATGGTTCCTGGTATACACATATGCCAAGACTTAACCAAGTTATATACTTAGCGTATGTGCAGTTGATTGTGTCGTCAGTTTTATCTCAAGAAAGCTCATTTTAATGTTTAAAAGGACACATCCGTACCCCCCAGGCCCAGTGTCTGGGTTTGCCCTCAGATGAACTGATCCTGGCGTGGGTCCCACTTTGCTGACCTTCGGGTCTCTCCCTGTGAAAAGGGATCTCAGTGGAGAGAAGTCCTTCATCAGTTAAGAGACGTGCCCAGCAAAGGTGTCCAGCTTGGTGCAGAAGGAAGACCCTGATGTCTGCAGAGTGTGCTTTTCCCGTCCCCTTGACCCCTCTGCAAGGCGGGCTCGCTGTTCCCCCAGCTCCGTCTGGTGGCTCAGGCCCAGGTCAGGGTGGCCCGCAGGGCAGGTGCTGCCCGCAGGTGGGAGGTAGCAGGGGCCAAGGAGTCTGTAGTGTGGCTGAACTAGCACGTGAGTGTGTCGCTCGCCCTCCACAGCGTCCGTGCAGGCTGGCCGCCCGTGGGCAGGCTGGAGTCCAGCGCCAGCCCCCCGGATTCCTGGGGGAGCCACAGGCCTTGCCTGGAATCTCAGGACAAAGGGTGGGAGGTGGCAGCTATGTGCCCAGCACCTGGCCCAAAGCTTGGCACAGATGTGGCGCCTCATGCACGTTTGTTGACTATCATTTTGTGGCAGAGCAGCTGTGTTGGGCACTTTTCTTCTTGGCTCTCCTATATTTCTTCACCCATAAACTGGGCTCACAAGAGGGAGGGCCAGACAGATTATAAAGAGCTAAATAAATATGTAGACAGAATAATTCCAGATGCAACAGATACTGTGAAGGAAGTAATCAGATGACAGTGTATTTCATGAGAGAGGGGCCTTTACATAATGATGCCAGAGAAAATCTGCAGGGACCAGTGGATTTGAAAAGCAAAGGGTCAGCCATGCAGTGGGGTGGCCAGTGCAGAGGCCCTGAGGAGCATACTTACCATGGCTGGAGAGACGGTGGTGGCACCCACTGTCTTCACGTGCTCACTGAGGGCCACGTGCACTATAAGGAGTTCGTATGTTCCACTCCTTAAGTTCTGGAATTAAGTGACTTGCCCAAGGTGGCCCAGAAAGCAAGAGACGATCAAGGCCTGGAGGACCCGATCAGACCAGTGTCCTTATCAGCCAGCTCGCAGTCGGTTCGGAATTATTCCGAGGTCTGTAGAAGCTGCTGGAGTGTGTTGCGGAGGGACCCACAAGTCAGCTGGATGTTCTGGGGGTGTGAGTGTAGAGGATGCATTTTCAGTGACAGCGGTGGGTGCTGAGAGAGAATTCCAAGGGGATTGCCATCACGTCCGAGAAGTGTCCGGGGCCCGGGCCGGGGTGGTGGATGGGCGACATGTCAGGGTCCGAGCCAGGCTGACCCTCTGCTCTCCCACCTCTGCCCATCCCAGTGACCGGTCCCTCTCCTCCCCATACAGGAAGGATGCCTCTGGCCCTCCGAGAGCACCGTGTCAGGCGGCGGAATCCCAGAGGTGAGCCCCAGTGCTGCCTCCCCTCCCCCATCTCCTATCTCCCCTCTCTCTACCGGCCCTCAAGGCTGCCCGCAGCTGGTCCCCTCCGCCAGGCTGGAGGTGTCCCCCGCTGCTACACCAGTGACTGCTAGAGTCTCACACCTCTGCCCTTCCTTGAAGAAGTGTCCTTGGCTGCCGAGACCCTCCCTGCCTGGACAGTGTGTGCAGGGAGCAGGGAGCAGTACCTTTGACCGGGGAGGCATGAGGCTGCCGCTGCTTCAGTGCTGACGGCCACATGTCGGGGCTCCCTGGGGTCAGGCCCCGGCTGGGCTCCGGGCTCAGCCCCCACCCTGCCCCACCTGCCGCCCTCCCTCCCCGCGCCCAGGGAGCAGAGCCGCGGTCCCGCCTCCGGGAGGCCCTCACCCTGCTCTGCACCCTCCAGCCACAGGTGTACGCCCCACCGAGGCCCACCGACCGCCTGGCCGTGCCCCACTTCGCCCCGCGGGACCGCTTCCACCGCTTCCAGCCCACCTACCCGTACCTGCAGCACGAGATCGACCTGCCGCCCACCATCTCGCTGTCGGACGGGGAGGAGCCCCCGCCCTACCAGGGCCCATATATTCTTGGAAAATTCTCTAATCTTTCTGACGCGAGTCGGTGCGCGCGCCCCCGAACAGAACCATCTTCGACAGCGACCTGATAGACAGTGCCATGCTGGGCGGCCCCTGCCCGCCCAGCAGTAACTCGGGCATCAGCGCCATGTGCTACGGGGGCGGCGGGCGCATGGAGGGGCCGCCCCCCACCTACAGCGAGGTCATCGGCCACTACCCCGGGTCCGCCTCCTTCCAGCACCAACAGAGCAGCGGGCCGCACCCCCTGCTGGACGGGGCCCGGCTCCAGCACGCACACCTCGCGCCCCTGGAGAGCACAGCCGCCTGGAGCCAGGAGAAGGATAAACAGAAGGGACACCCTCTCTAGGGACCCGGGCCGGGCGGCGGTGGGTAAAAAGGCGAAACACTCCGCACTTCTTATGAGAGGAGGACCAGGTGACACACGGGCAGTGCGCGCGTCACCAGCCCCTCCCCACCTCTCTGTGTATAAATATTTACGTGTCCTGTCTGGTCTGAATGCATAAGCTAAGAAAGCTTGCAAAAACAGCAAAAACGAAAACAAAACAAAACACGTTTCTGTGTTGAGCCCTGTCTTGAAGGCGAAAGGAAAAAAACAAACAAAAAAAAAACCAGAAAAAAAACTACCCTAATCTTTTCTGTTTCTAGTCGAGCTACGTGCGTGAATGCTTATTTTCTTTTGTTTGTTTATGATGATTTCACTTAACTTTAAAGACATATTTGCACAAAACCTTTGTTTAAAGATCTGAAATATTATATATATATAAATATATATGAAATAAGAGAAACCGTATGTGCAAGGGCAGGAGTATTTTTGTATTAGAAGAGTCCTATTAAAAAAAAAAAAAGTTGTTTTCTGAACTAGAAGAGAAAAATGGCCATTTTTGAGTGCCAACTCAGAAAGTGTGTATTACCTTGTAAAGAAAAAAAAATTACAAACAGGGGTTTAGAGTTATTTATATAAATGTTGAGCTTTTGCACTATTTTTTAATATAAATATGTCAGTGCTTGTTTGATGGAGACTTCTATCAGGTCTATCGAGAATTTTAAGGGAAAAATGTTGAATTTCGACGTCAGGCAGAGAGGGTGTGCTCCACACGGAGCCTGGGGAGAGGCCTCCGGCCGGGCCCCTTTCCTGCAAAGTGGAAGCTTCTGTCCAGTGAGTAGGTGATTACCTCGTTACACATTCCCTCCCAGAGGGGACACAGATTTTCCCCTCTGGGCCAGGACAGTTTTTGGATCACAAACAAAACAGAGGAAAGTCACTCGAGGCACCAAGTTCCAGGCGGTGGCTTTGCCTTTCCCGAAATGAAAATAAACTGTTACTGAAGGAATTTTAGTTTTTCTTCCCATTTTTTTCAGCCACGAAGGTCCCGGTAGGAAGGGACTGAGGTGGTCCTCGCAAGCTGTCACTGTGTTGCCAGTGACCCGCCTGAGGGGTGTAGACGGCTCGTTTGTGCAGAGTGCTCTGGTGGCGAGGTCAGCGGGCTCCAGAATTTGTCGGCTGAGGTCCGTGCAGTCCCCTGGCATATAGGAAAGGCCCAAAGTATTACAAATAGGACCGCGTCTCTGTCTCTGTCTTTCTGTATTAATTCTCACTTAACAGGGCCAATCCACAGAAGACCAGAGGTGAAACCGTGACACACACAGGTTTCTCCCAGGACACGCAAAAGGGTTGAGTAAGGAAGACAGGTCCACTGCAACCCTGCGCTTGATGCTTTAGAAGCAGAATTCTCTACTTCTTACGTCCATTCCCTCCCCCTGGAAACGGTCACGTTCGACGTGTCTGTTTATGTGTGTTCTCATAAGCATCTTTCTCAGACACAGCTTGTTGACCAGGATTTTAGTAGGTCTGGGTGTGGCGAGCCCCCTTGGGTGGTGGTGGCATCAGTGAAGAAGCGTGAGTGGGCAGGTAGACGTGACAGTGGCTGAAGCAGGAGACCCTCCAATGCAATCTGGGCTGGGGGACCCCCAGCTGGAAGAGCAGCCCCCTCCCCCACCCCTCCACCCCACGGAGGCGTCTTCCTTTTCGGCAGAATGCCACCTGGCAACCTAACGTAAGAAAAAGGTGTAAGAGGCAATAACTGTTGTTTTTAAGCAACTTTTTTATTACTTGAAAAACAGACAACCTGAGAACAGTTTTGATGTTCTGACCATCGGAACTCTATTTATATACACGTTTTAAGAACATGGCGACCCACGGCCGTAGTGTCGTCTGGGCGTCGGCCGACCAGCCTGGCAGAACGTGTTTGTACCTTAACAGTCAAACTCGCCTCTCCGTGGGGTCTTCCGCCTGCAACTTGCTTCCCTCTCAAACAGGATTCTTTTCAAATGTCGTGCAGAGAAATCAATACAGTTTGTCCTGAAGGGTACAGGGACACATTTATAGGTATCATTTTTAGAACATATCTTTATGTGGAGCGTCTCCCCAGTGCCTTAGTGAAGAAGCAGTTGGCTCTCTCGTCACCGGGCCAGGCGTCCCTGCGTGGTGCCCGGCGCACTCGGGCGGCCAAGGGCGGCTGCTTCTCTCCAACGTCCCCACCACTCTCCCGTGTCGTGACCCGCCCGCCCCCACCTGGGACGTGCCTCGCTTGGTCAGGACCCCTCCTACCCTCCAGCCTCCCTGGTCAAGGACCGTGTTTAACGCCCGTCTGGACCGAAACCTAGACGTGGACCTCGGTTGTGTGAGGAGCGTCAGTCTGGAGCTGAGGTCCTGGAGCCAGACTCCGAAGCCGGCTGCTCGGCGGCGTGGTCCGCGTCTGCCGGATTTCAGCCAGTTAGGGGAAGGGAGCAGGAGAGGGCGACTGGCCTCGGCTGGCTCGAGGGCGAGCACGCCCTGCTGTTGCAGCCCAGGCCACCCCCCAGGCCACCCCCAGGCCACCGGGCTGCAATGCCCCTGGGCTTCGTGCTCGGAAGTGTTTTTGGGGGGGCAGGCAGCTTGTCAAAGCCAGGGTGCATCCCAAGAAAGCTGGTGGTGTGTTTCTGGAAGCTTCTGCTGTAGCTAAGCTCTTGGTTTCTCTGTGGACCCCAGAGCGTGAGGGGCAGGCTCTTTCCTCTAGATGTGGGCTGGCATGCCGTTGTGTTTGAAAAGTCTTTGAGCACCCCTCAGGAGGCCCCCCTTTTCCAATAGAAAGTTGGGAGGGGTGTCTCAGAAGTGGCTGGTTTGACGGGGGACCAGGTTGGGCTCAGCTTTCTCAAACCCTCGTTGCTTCTTTGTTTCCCTGCTTGTCAATCGCATTTCTCACCCCCACCCCCGAAGCCCGGGTCTACGCAGACGCAGCCGGACTTAGCAAAGTCCACTAAGGGTCATCCACGTTCCCCAAAAGCCCAGGGGTTTTTCAAAGAGCCAAAGGCGAAGCAGCGCCCCCGCCCCCGCCCAGCGAGCACTGATTCCGTTCCTTGTCCACGTCTGTCTGCTCTGTGAATTGTCCATTTCGGAGATTTCTTTTTCCTGTGTGCGACACAAAGCTTCCAGGTCCGCAGCACATCCCAGTGATCAGGAAAGAGATTTTTTTTGCCCCCGGAATCCGCACTCCAGATTTTGCTGTGCTCCAGAATCGAGAAGGATGCCGTGTGCTCGTTGGCCTGCCTGACCCCTTGGTGGCTGTGGGATGGCGGTGCTTTCCCGTGGTGGCCTTGGTGTTGGAACTGCTCTCCCGTGCAGCCCTGTCTCCCGAGTTCTGTGAGACTTCTGTAAACTCGGTGGCACGGCCGGATGCAGCCCCCACGTCGCTGCTGCGTAAGACTCTGTACTCGGACGCCGGTCCACGGGCCTGATGGAATGCTTGTGTATCAGTGATTATTAGTGGAATGATGACGTTCTGGAAAGCTGCAATACTTATACAATAAATTTTACAGTTCTTTGGATTGAGGCTTTTTTTAAAATTTCTTTGGTGGTTCCCCTACCCCCACCTCCCTCGGCAACAACCCCAGGTGCATATAGTGGGGAGGAAGCGGTCCCCTGAGCTGCTGTGTGACCTTGGGCTAGTCCTTCCACCTCTCTGTTCCAGTACAGGGAGCCCAGTGAAAACACGCTTCCCCAGGCAGGTGGCTTTAATAAGGTGGGAGGGAGGGTATTTGGTTTAAAAGAATTTCCAAAACATTGCCTACTTTTCCTCCCCTTTGGAAAATCATTAACCGCCATAGCATGGTGAAAGCTCTGATGAGATCTGCAAGAAAGAATCTGCCTTAGGTGGAGTTCTTCCAGAAGTGAACTGAGACATGCCCCTGTCTGAAGGGGTGTATCACGGTCGTCTCCCAGGGCAGACGGTTCAGGGAGTCAGCAAGAAGACAGCAGAAGTGGAGCACAGAACCCCAAAAGGGATCTGGGGGTTCTCAGTGGGGCACCCACAGTGCCTGTGACAGGAATGCTTATTTATTTCTCTTTACTGTCAGGTAAAGGCTTTCGAAAAGTCCACGCAAACCGAGTAGGTGACCCGCGGGGACGCTCAGTGTTGAGCCTCGGCCCCAGGGTTTCTGAAGCTGGGCTGTGGAGGCGCATGCACCTCCCGCTGGATCTGGGCGGAGCTCAGCCTTGTCTGCCTTACCTGGTTCCTCTCTGGTGCAGGAAAACCTCAGATCACAAAGAATTAGGGAGAAACCTAAGAAGCGCATTCCTCCTCAGGGGCGGCAGCGGGCAGGCTCCGCGGTGCTGCGCCCCAGCCTGGCGCTGGTGTCCGAGCGCTTCTCACTCCGTGGCGC